AACAATAAATAATTACTCCAGGACTGACAAACTGAATTAGCCAATGGCGGCCAAGCTAAAATACAGCGACGCGCGAAAGACAGCGTTGCTTTTTGAAGGGCGACGTCATGTTAAAAAGTCGATGTCGCTTTTTTTTTCTCTACAGCTTAACATTGAAAAAAAGCGACGCACGTTGCGTAGCGCGTCGCCCTTCAAAGAGTGGCCGAAATAAAACACCATACTATATAGTGACTAAATAGTTAAACGTCGTCTCACAGTAATATTTAATGTTTACATCCGAAATGACATTGCGGTCTGTTATGACGAATTATAGAAACAATGCATAAAGAGCAAGATTTTTCCTCAACAGATTCGTTCCGTGTTTTAGCAACACCCGTTTGTATACAAATACAAATTATTTATAATCGCCTACTTATGAAAGATACTCTTAATGAATATCCACCTCTCCAATCTTCATTAGTCTCGGAGCAAAACAGTGGGACGTTAAACCCGATAGAATAGAATATAATTTTTTATTGTATGGAAACGCCCTTTGATGAAAACATACAAATACAAATTTATGGACAGGTACACAAATATGGACGGGCATAAATTCAGCGCATTCAAGTAAATAGAGAGTATAAAACCTGCTGCATACCGGGTACATAGTCAATAACAAACATGTTAATACATAATACTTGTATTATATTTGTGTTAATTCATGACATTATACAATCTATAATATAAAGTTACCCAGTAGAGCAGGTTTATCTAAGAATACAAATAGTGATATCCTTAGCTGTTCTCGGTGACAGTGTGCATTGTAATGGGTCGTTTTCAAACATAATGGCGTAGAGAGGTCATATTATCGTCGCTGTGATTTTACTAAGTTTTTTTTTTTCAATGGGGTTGTCCGCTCGGGCACTGATTCTCAGGTGGCGCCACTGGATTATGGGTCACTCTTTCACAGCAGACGGCAAAATCAAGGCGGAAAATAATTACGGTCGATTTACTGTTGGAAAATTGAAAGACGAGTTAGCTAAACGAGGTGCAAGGACAACGGGCAGAAAAGAGCCACTTATTGAGAGGTAAGTGTCATCGAGTAAACATTAGCCTAGGCCTATAATAACCTAATTAAGCCCTGTTCCCATTCCAGCGACTGCCTTATGTTCGTGGGCTTCACCATAGATAATTATTATTCATTATACGTTGTTATTATCTATCATCTATGGCTTCACAAACCTGCGACCCACTTTCAAGTTTATAAGCGGTTCGGACGTTCATTCGTCGGCATTTAGAAACAAACAAATTACACCCGTAGGTAGATCTATAGGTACTGATTTGGCATTACTCACATTGTCGGTAGTGTAATTTATTGATTTTCAAATAGGTCGTAGCTACTCGAGCTAGGCCTTAGCCTATCTTTTATCTATCTAGGCCTATAGCATATCAACTAGCCTAGGCAGCCCACAAAAGTTTTAAATCTGAATAGGCCTAATTCATTAACTAGGCCTAATTCATTAACTAGGCCTAATTCATTAACTAGGTCTATTTTAACTAACAATAACATGGAAGTTATTACACTGACTCAGACTCTCAGAGACACTGTTGTCAGTGTATATCTTAGCTTGAAATAAGAAAACTTAGCCTGTAGGCCTAGTATTCTGTTGTGTCACAGTATCCTGGATTTCTGCATTCAACTTGATGAGAGATTTAATATAGTCTTAACACTCCTGAAGTACAATTATTTGTGTATGCATGTAGATAGCATGCTGATTACCGTATATTATTATTAATATTATATAGATAGGCCTATTATTATAAACTTTGTTCTAAATTCCAAGTGGTGATTGACTTGCTTTGTGGTGTTTATAGAAGCCTTGTGTTCTAAATTAAATTTTAAGACAATGTATATTATGTGTTCTAATAAAATTAATAATATTCTTATTTTTTTAAGGTTAGATGCCTATGATAATAATGATAACTTTAGAAATCCTGTTATCCATCTTCCTGAGTACACAATTCCGCAGTGGCCTAGTTCAGGATTTCGACACCTTGTATCTGAACACAGATCAACGTTACCAAAAATTGATAGATGTCAAATAGATGGTTATTTTAAATACAGAATGGTATCTGATCATGGGATGGCCAATGATTTAAAAGCACTGCAGAAAGGAGAGAAATTGATGGAAAGTGATCGAGTTTCTGCATACAGTTTATGTGAAATAGATACTTGTATTTACTTTACAGGAATTGTTGCTGCTGCAATGAAAAAGAAGGTAATTTGTGAGCTTAAATCTTTATTTATGTTATAATTTAATAGGGAGAACTGGTGAGCTGATCAGGGAATTTTGTTTCCTGTTTTATTGGCTAGATATTAAAAGCCTATCTCTGTCAATCATGCCAATCACGTTATTTGCATCGCATTTTTAGTAAACAGCAATTAGATTTCTGGTAAAAAAGAAATGATCAGATATTCTGAAATTACTCCTGATGTATTTCTTATGACCATTGATAGAGATATTCTTCTTTGCAAGAGATACTTTATTACTTTTATTGTATGTATACATGTATAGATTGATTAGTAGACTTACAGGCTGCAGCTCATGTAAAGGAATCATTCAATTTCCTAAATATAATATCTGGCACATCATTATTGAATATCCATATAGTATTAAGAAAATCGGCCCAAATGAAACTTATGTATTTTATTACAGTTAACTTACAACTATAAACTCAGCGTTGAAAAAAGTAGTGGTGAAATTGTAAATAGTCACTGTGAATGTCCTGCTGGTAAAGGCCCACATGGAACCTGCAAACATCTGGCTGCAGTTTTACTGATGCTGGTTAAATTCATTGAAGATGGGCAGTGTAAAATCAAGAGAAGTTGTACTGAGAATTTGCAATCTTTCCACATGCCAAAAAGGCAATATGAAGGTAAGAGAATATGTTAAGATACAAAATTTTCATTTCCCTCTTAGTCAAGGAATCTGGGACAGAGTTAGGGGTTTTATTTTTACTTACATGTATGTCCTTGGTTGACAATGTAATTCCTTAGCAATAGCATGTCCTTGTCTTAAGCTATCTATTTAAGCTAAATCGGCCTATTGAAGGTCTTTTTTCAGACCTACGTCTTTTTTCAGACCTTAGATGTTATATAAATTATTAATTAGACATTAATTAACTACCAAGATCAACACAATGAATCATGAATGATCAATGCCATGATTGCCATCAGATATCTCTGATATTAAGTAGATTTAAATACTTTTGCGATTTATTATTGTAACAATGACAATCAGAGCTAGACTCTCAATGTGTCGCCAATCGCCAGGCTCCGAGTGAAGTAATTTGACTGAAATTTTCAACATATTCCCTTTTCATTATCTATTTGTTAACTATTATATCAAGAACTGTCGGCTCTTTATCTAATCTTACCTAATGCCAATGCCCCTTTAATAAAATTTTGATTTATTTTCAGGATCCCCGGTAAAATCATTTGTATTCCACCAGTTCTTAGTGGCCCGCCTGTAATACATGGTCTTAAATTTGAAACTGTTGCATGCAAATCTTTCGAAGAAAAGACGGGTTTCATTGTGTCTAAATGTGGAGTTTTTGTGCACCCAAGTTATCCGTATCTTGGTGCAACTCCTGATGGAGTAATTGATGATAATAAAATAATTGAAATTAAATGTCCATATATTGCTCCGGGAAAATATTTCCCTTATCTGGAATATTTGGATGGTAGCAGCAAAGTCAGGCTTTCTAGAAACAGTCGATATTATTCTCAGGTACAAGGACAGCTTTATTTATCTAAACACCAGTTATGTTTTTTTATAATATTTACACATAAAGATCTTTATATAGAAAAAATAGAAATTGACAATGATTATTGTAAAGGTTCTTTATTGCCTAAGCTTGAATTATTTTATCATAAATATTTAAGACCTTATATTGCATCTCATTTATAATTATAACAATGGTGATATGTACAATTACAACAGTTCTGTAAAACAAAATTAATCAATTTGATATCAGATTAAACAAGACCTTATATAAAGCATCCCTTTTATAACAACAGTGATATTTACAATTTCTACTGGATCACTACTGGGCTAAATCAAATGCCTTCTTATATATATCACATATTTCCATTGACTAAGTATATGTCATGTTGTTTATAGGAATGTACAATTATCCTGTTTCACTTAAAAGTGTCAGGCTTACATTGATGATAAATTAGCCTACAGAGTCAGTGGGGGGGGGGGGGCTGGAGTGCAAAATATTTATATGCAATAATTAAATAGTCTTTTTTCATGTTTTTTATTTTTAAATAAAAACGGGTCATGCAGTGCTTTTCAGGTTACACAGGATTGTCTGAGAACCAGAATATTTTTTGTAAGGCCTTATAACAATGGTGATATGTACAATATCTAAAAATTAGAACATGACTATTATATTGATAAACAAAGGTTGCATGGTACTTGTCCGCTTCCACAGAAGTGTTATCTCTTGAAAGTTTTTAATAAGAGATTTTCTCTTTTAATAGCCGCTACCATCATTCATGACAAGTTAAATATACATTACTCAACTCAAGTGTGCTACATTTACCTATAATTGCAGGTCTTTCTTTTGGCCTTAAATGTTATGATAAATTATCAGACATTTATTAATGTACACAATCAATGCACACATCTTGTCGAAACTACAAACATTGATAACTTGGCTTACAATAAAGTAAGTTGAATAAAATTTTCAATATATTCATTTTGCATTATCTATTTTTGAACTATCATAGCAAGAACAATCGGCTCTTATCTAAATTTTACATAATGTATTTTTAAGAGACTTGTACAATGCAAAGATTGTGTACTATTGTTATTATTGTTATTATTAATATAGGTATATGTTATGTTATATAAAAGGCTTTATTTATGATATTAAATACATGTAGTTACAGTAATAAACACACTATTATATTACAGGCCTACTAGATTTCTTTGTTTGATCTATTGGGGGGGGATGTGATTAGGCAAGTCTGTTGACAATTGATGGATGGAAATTTGATAGCATATAGCATACAAATACAATTCTTGAACCAAGAGCTCGTTTGCTGGCAGGCAGATCTTTTTTCAAAATTTTGTAGGTTTTGCCTAAACCTATCACTCTTTCGACATGAATTCTCTTTGAAGCAATTCGACGATCATGTATGACTTGTTCAGGTTCTAGTTGCGACTTGCCTTTCAACATTGTTGGGGTGTTGACAAAAACATTTTTGGATGCAAAGATATCCTGGACCATAATACCCCGGTCAGCCATTATGCTATCCTTTGATTCAAACATACCATTATTATTGACTAGTGTGGATCGTTCAATTATTTGTCTGTCACTAACTGATCCGCCATAACTGTCACTGATATATGATACAAGTCCTCGAGGTGAACAACCGATTATGGTTTTCAGTGTGTTTTTATTTTTGTATGTAGAAAATGTCATACTTTGGGCATCAACATTCTGTGGCTTTGAAATAGGAATTTCTGTGGCGTCTAGTACTACACGTGTTGTAGGAAATGCAGATTTAAACTTACTAGGCATATTCTCTTGCACAATAGATTTTTCGGGCCAAATATTGATTTCTTTTAATAAGAAATATAAAAAATTGATCCATACATTAATTAGTTGTGAAACGGTACTTTCACTGACTTTGAAAAAAATACTGAGTTCCAAATCTTCCTTGGCTTGTCTTAATTTCATGAGAGTTAAGAAAAGTTGATCCTTAGGTTCCAACAAAGAACATTTATAATTTAAATCAAAAACTACAGGGCCAAGAAGATTAAAGAAAAACATAAAATGAGCATAATCATTAAACCCAGAGTAATATTTAATGGCTCTTGGATTTTCACAGAAATTTTCAATGGAGAACTTAGAATTTATATCTGACAAAAGGTGACATTGAATTTCAACATTATGATTTTGGGATGGTTCACAATCAACAGGCACTGCAACATCAACGCAAGAGTGATCAATTACAATTTCATTGATAACTTCATTCTCTTCATTCTGTAACATTACCGGGTTAACTGAAGCTTCAAAGACTCTCCTCAACTTTCTCCTTGGGCATACAGACTTTTTGAGTGTAAATAATGATGGAACAGCATCCTTTTTCAATCTTTTGCGTTCACCTAGAATAGAAATCAAAAATCACTATTAATAGTATTAACCCTTTATGCTTGAGATTAAAGTGAATGATAACATTTAACAGTATAAGTAGTCCTTCAATTTTGAGAAAAATATTTGAAAAAATGTCTTATCAATGTTAGATAATTTTCTATTTAAAACAAATATGCTCTTTCATTTATAACTTGGCCTAGCAGTTGCTTGATTCTAAATATAAGGCCTAATACTAATACACTGTTGTAATGTATTAATATTAATAGTCAAGCATTTAATATTAAAATGCACACTGCATAGTAGTAGGTTAGGGCCTAAGTTTAATGAAGAGTGGAGGATTGACATGAAATCATAGATAGGCCTAATAATAACAAATAATTTATCATCGAGTTGCCCTGAGTTGAGATCTTTTGGATGACGAGTGTTATTTTATTTATTATTTTTTCTGAACAGACCTAAGCCTAATTTATTCTCGTATGGGGATTTGAACAATATTAAATTCAAAACCTTAATATATGCATTTTGCATCTGAGAGCAAAGACGATGAACATGACGTATGTAGGGGCCTATGTTTTTATTTTTTTTTCTTACCGAGAAGTGTACTTGTGTAGACGTCATTGGTAAAATGATCTTTACAAACACGATCGTGCTCCCCGGGTTGCCATAATTTACCAGTCTGTTGTTCATTTCTCATTATTGCAACAATCCATCTCTTCCGCAGTATTGGATCTTTCGGAAAAGTGTGCACACCTTTTGAGTTTTTGCAGTTTGGTACACAGCAATACTGCGGCATTGTGCGTCTTTAGAGACGACAGGAAGTAGCAGACGATGTTTACATCATAGATCGAATGTTGACATAAGGCCGTGACCTATAACCCATAATTCACGCGCGCCACCTGGTGAGCTCCTCGTCGGGGAAATAGACATAAATAAGACACCAGTGTCTTGTCTGCGATATCACCTTCGGTGGAAGCGGACGTTAAACACTAACAACAACAACTAGTTTATTGAAGTGAATTTATCAGTTAATGTAAAACTACAGAAAGCGGTAATCGGTTTACATTTGATGTTGTTTGAATGTGTGATAGCTGTACTTCCACCAGCTTAAACAATGACGACACGGACCAAACCAACACTAGAACTATGTGAACAAGATATTCTTAAAGGGGATGGTTGTCAATCGTGGCAGGAATTCGTAAACGGTACACTGCAATCCTGTCCTCAACACAAAGATGATGTGAAGAATTATTATTGCAAAGAATGTTCGGTAGCGATTTGTTCTCATTGTTTCATTGCTGACCATAATGGACATTCAAACGTGAACCGAGAGGATATTCTACAGATAGTGAAAGATAATCTAAATCTGTTAAATCAGAATTTAGAAGAAGAAATAATGAAATTAGAGACTTATTGTGGTTTATTAGAAGATAAAATATCTCATGTGGATAGTGTGATTAAACAAATCAGTGATAATATTAATCAACAGGTACAAAATATATGTCGAGAAGTTCAGATTGAGGGTGATGAAATGAAGGCGAGAATGTTGGACATTTTGGCTAAATGTAAACTAAACAAACGGTTAGAAGATACAACCGCAATAATTGTGGATTTGAAATCTACTGTTAATGGTAATAGTGAAGTTATAGATGATAAATATGTTGTACCAGTTTTAGATCAAATGATGATATCTCGGGAACAGAAGGAAAAATGTCGATCTAGAAAGTTTGATTTGCTATGTTTAAATAAAGTTCTGTTTAAGGAAGGGCAGATAGATACAGGAATAATATCAGACCAGATAGGTAGATTAGATATAACAGATAGTGAGGAGTAGTGCTATTATAAATAATATCAGAACAGATAGGTAGATTAGATATAACAGATAGTGAGGTGTGTAGTGCTATTGTAAATAATATCAGAATAGATAGGTAGATTAGATATTACAGATAGTGAGGTGTGTAGTGCTATTATAAATAATAGCGGTGAGATCCTCGCCCTGTTTCATCGCGTTTTCGCCCTCTCGACATCGACGTCTCGAGATTATAATATTGTCACGTGCCATCTCTGTGCAGCAAGAAAAATATATGGTTAGTCACGTGCCATCTCTATGCAACAAGAACAATATAATGTTACCCGTTAGTCACGTGTCATCTCTATGCAACAAGAACAATATAATGTTACCGATCAAACCGGTTAATCTAGTTAGGAATATTCTAGTGGATTTGGTTTTGAAGTGAATTTATCAGTTAATGTATAACTCTAGAACACGGTGACAGATCAATTAAAGTTGTAAAACCTAGCCATGTTTGGATGTAATATTGCTAAGTGATTAGGTTATATTGCTATATACGATTTCAACAGTTAATGTAAACTGATAGATTGACATTTCAATACTGGCAACTGTGTAAGTTACATTTATTGCTAAATATGAACTAGCATGTCATAATAGTTTGCGTAACGACCTATAATGAACATATAGACTGATATGTATGGAGTGCGTTCATCTGAATTGATATATTCTAGTTTGTAAAACAGATCAACAAATTGCTTTGGATAAGTTTGTACACTTTTAATAAATAACTGTGATATATAGCAGTGTATATTTATAATGTCACACTATGGTCGGACCAGGTGATGTGATAGTTATATGGATTGTTACATTATATAATATTACCTGATTAACAAACATTACGGAACTATTGGTCGTGCTGAGGCGTAATGTCTAACATTGATAGTCCAATTTCAAGGGTATATTAACAAAATGGCTGAAGAAAGAAATCAAGTTTGCGTTTTTTGTTTAGACGACTTTGTTGACCCCAAAATACTGGACTGTCAACATTCGTTCTGTTTGAAATGTCTAGACGATTATATCACAAGATCTTCTAAAAACAACCAATTTCAATGTCCAGTGTGTCGTCGTACTGTTCAAATTCCCGCAGGTGGAGTCAACGATTTTCCCTCACCAAAAGTTTCTCCGACAGAAATTACAACTCATATGTGCCCTGCCCACAACGACAAGCCAGTTGGTTATTTCTGTCAGGACTGTTTTCAATCGGTGTGTTATGTTTGTGCGTCTACCACCCATAGAGGGCACACATTCTTACCCTTAGAGGATACATCAGAACCCGGACCTGAAGGACTAGACATTAATAAGGATAGGTGTCCTAAACACAAACATGCTATAATGAATTATTATTGCAAAAAATGCTCGGTACTGGTCTGTGCTGATTGTTTTATTGCTGACCATAATGGACATCTATTCTTAAACAAAAAAGTCTATCAAAAGGAACTAAGAGAAAAACTAAGAAGTTTAAATGGAGATTTAAAAAATGAAGTAAGTAAATTAGAAACTTACTATGAGTCATTAACGACCGGGGTTTCACAAACTGAAAAACTGGCTAAAAAAACCAGTGATAGTATTGATCAACAGGTTAAAAAAATATGCCGCGAAGTTGAGAGACTGGGCGAGGCAATGAAGACCAGGATGTTGAAAGGTTTGGATGAGGGTAAAACAAAAGTAGATACACAAAAGAAGGACACTTCAGACTTTGTTGAACGTTTGAAATTGAATGTTATCGATAATGATAGGGTTTTACAGGATAAATATGTTGGACCACTTTTAGTGCAAACCAACAAATCTAGAACACAACAGAAAGAAAGTAGTTCTAGAAAGTTGGACGTTTTATCTTTACCTGGAGTCCTGTTTGAGGCTGGAGATATAGATAAAGTCCCATTATCTCAAGCAATAGGTAGTTTATATATTATAAATACTGTAACTGTAAGTGGTAGTTTTAATGTAGATCAGGTTGTAACAAAGGGGTGGTTTGGTAATGTGTGGCGTGAGAGTCTCAAGCAGACTAATAATGATTTAACATCGTTTATTAGAGTTTCTAGAGATAGCTCAACGTTATACGTTCAGTTGATTATACATAACACATTCAGACATGATATTCGTCAAATAAAATTTAAAATGATTAATCACAAAGACGAAAGTAAGCCTAAGATAGAAAGGGGCCCACATATCGACGTAGACTGGAGCGAATTGACAAACCCCGACAATGGATTCCTGGATGAACAAAATAACTTCAGTGTGCAGTATGAAATTAAACTGTATACAGAATAAACTTATCTTACTCCATATCACGTGTATTGTTGCGCATGTTGTATATAGTCGTTCATATGTTTATAGGCACCGTATGTTAAAGGACAATATTGGTGTCAGTCATTATCACATATGTGATAGAACTGGTTAAACACATATAATTTTAACACGGAGAGCATTGCTACGATAGAAGCGTAACGAAGATTTGATAACACGGGAATGACGCAAAAATGGAAAACAAGAGATAGAAAGGGCCCGTACATTCCCCTGTTTTTATTCATGCTATACTTAATAAAAATCATAATTTCGTTTTTTCTTAATAAGTGACAGTCAATTCCTGTTACGAATTGTCAGATATCCTCTCACAGACCCATATGACAACTTTTGCTCTTTGAAGCAATTCTTAGTGAGAAGAAATTCGATCGTATATCTGTTATCACTCGTTACTTCAGTCAGTTATATAGAAGGATAACACTTGTTTTCTATTGTTTGTCACTTCCGTTTCTTCAAATCTTCGTTATGCACCATCGTAACAGATCTATGTGTTAAAATTATATTTGGAACGTGTTTAACGAGTTCTATCACATATGTGATAATGGCCGACACTAGTATTGTCCTTTAAGACTTGTTTAGATAATTTAGCATTTTACAAGGAGTAACATAAGTAACTATTTTTCCGCAAACTTGATGTAAAAATTTACAAACGTGTGGGGAAGTTTATCTTTATAAGAATTAAATGTTAAGTTTATCCAGGGACTCATATACATGAAATATAAATAAAAAACTCGTGGAAACATATTTGTCGGGGCTTAGATGTTGTTGTCACAAACTAGCATTGAAACAGGCATGTGTCGGAATCTTGACAGACACAAAGGACTATGTTTATATTGTAGCATTTTCTATTATAGTATGTCCACTTTATTCTAGACTTAGAGATATTAAACAGAAGCCCCATGATTATATTAAAGCATATATGAGATCTACTGCATTATACACATTTCTTATTTGTGTAGCGGTATAGCATAGTTTATATATTTATAAGATTTACTAATTATTTTAAATATGTTACAGTCTATATTTATAAGATTTACTAATTATTTTGAATATGTTACAGTCTATATTTATAAGATTTACTAATTATTTTAAATATATTACAGTCTATATTTAGAAGATTTACTAATTATTTTAAATATGTTACAGTCTATATTTATAAGATTTACTAATTATTTTAAATGTGTTACAGTATATATATACATATATAGGATTTACTAATTATTTTAAATATGTTACAGTCTATATTTATGAGATTTACTAATTATTTTAAATGTGTTACAGTATATATATACATAAATAGGATTTACTAATTATTTTAAATATGTTACAGTATATATTTATAAGATTTACTAATTATTTTAAATATGTTACAGTATATATTTATAAGATTTACTAATTATTTTAAATATATTACAGTATATATTTATAAGATTTACTAATTATTTTAAATGTGTTACAGTATATATATACATATATAGGATTTACTAATTATTTTAAATATGTTACAGTCTATATTTATAAGATTTACTAATTATTTTAAATATGTTACAGTCTATAATATACATATATAAGATTTACTAATTACTGTATATATGTATATGCTATAGTTTATAATTTTATATGAATTGAAATGAAATGAAATGGGGTTTAACGTCCTACTGTTCTGCTCCAACTGGGCTAATGAATACGGACATACGCCATACAGTGTGCTATGAGGGGAATTTTGCCCGGGCAGCGGCACCATTGCCTACTCTTATATCGAATTCCAACTGCCAATGATCTTTAACGTGCATGCCAATGTACGACTGTTCGTCCCATCCGAACGACTAGAGAGCTGTCCTTGCCAGCCCCGTCATCCTCCAGGGGTTGATATCTTTTATTAATTACTGTAATGTTATAGTTTACGTTTATATGCCTACTAATGCAGGGGTCGATATCATTTATTAATTACTGTAATGTTATAGTTTACGTTTATATGCCTACTAATGCAGGGGTCGATATCATTTATTAATTACTGTAAATATGTTATAGTTTACGTTCATATGCCTACTAATGTTAGATTTTTGGACTTTTAAATGTTTACCGCAAAATTTATAATTGTAGCATGTTGAAACAAAATTTCAGTTTTAACAATAACATAAGAATAAAATATTAAGCTAGACATTTTAGTCATCTGTTCACTTTTCACAATAGAAGCTGTCCTCACTTCCACCTGTTACGTGTCATGGCATATCTGAGATTTTACAAGTGAGGACACGTATGTTTGCCCACGGTCCAGGCCCCTTGTGGGAATCTTAATCCTGATATCCCAGCCAAGACGAGGCGTGTGTAAACGTCCGAGTATTACTGGACTCGTCACCAGGACACACTGAAAGCCTAGGGTAGATCATCTCCAATAGAAGGTTTGATCTCGTCTTAATTCCGTATATCTTATTAAGCCCTGTACGTAATACCCTGCATATTCTGACGCTGTTTTCGATTGGCTGCTGACCTACCAGATTCCTTGATCATCCCGAATACCAAGTCTCGCGCTTTCCAGCAAAAATGTCTACCTGTGATAATCGAGTTGCAAAGTTCAAGGTTCGTTCAATGTCAAGGTTTAAGTGGAGGTCGCCATGTTTGACTTGAGTGTATTTGTGTCACAACGTATGTGCGCTATCGTTTATGTGTCTACGTTAAAGGGCGATAATGTAGCTATAACTTAGGGAATTGCAGACCATCTAGCAACGTCTAAATCATATAAAACTCGCGGTCGTTGCTTCAATAACATGATGTTACTCTGAATAGATGCATTGCATAAAACTTGCCAAATGTTTTTATTGTATATTTTTGACCACATCTCCAACATTACCTGAGCAATAAGGCTCCTTCCCAAACACAGAATTGAACCCAAGAAATGATCTCGAAAACACAACCTGACTTCTGAGATGGTAAAATGCACCCCCATACCTGGTTAAATCATTCACACTACAACGTCAGCAGCATGCCAGCATTATTCTGACCAAACTGTCATGGAACGAGACTCATAGGGAGGTCCAAACATAATGGCTTGGGGTGGAATCGGCCTGAACCAGAGAGTGGGTCATGTGGTGTTCCTAAATCTTGGTCCAGGGAGATGAGGCGGCAGGACAACGCCCGTGCCCACACCGCCGGAGATAGTCGGGACTTTCTACAGTAGAACAGTGTCAACGTTATGCACTGGTCAGCCTTTAGTCCGGACTTAAACGTGATTGAATATCTTTGAAATGAAATTCAGAGAAAAGGGTCCAATTGTAGAGGGCTAATTTAGGAGAACGTTTTGACAATCACTTGTCAAAGCAAATTTTGAACTGCCCTTCAGTTTTAAGGCTTCTCTTCACATTAGCCAAATTGGACAAATCACTCGTCTCAAACAGGTTAGTAATCTTTAACTTTCTTTTTACAATTTTATTCAGATAGAGACAATTAAAAGCCATATCCGATGGAAGAAAATGACGATTAATTAAAATTCCACAATTTTTTTATTCAATTTTGGCAGCCATTTTGAATTTCTGCCATCATAGATTGCAGTAATGGCGGGTTTAACCGGTGCCACGTAACCCTTGAACTTATGTCACTTCCGGTGCCACGTTACCTTTGAACTTATGTCACTTCCGGTACCAATGAAACCGTTAAACAGATTTCCAAATAAGGATTGCACACGTGTTATAAAATGGACGCAGAATCAACCAAATCCAACAATATCAATTCTATTTATACATTTGTTCCCATGTGTTACATATGTCAAAAAAGTGATCCTGACAAAATTTGTTAGTAACCGCTAAGTTAGCGGACTTTCTAATGGGAAATTAAAATCCGAAAAAAATCTTAAAAAGTTATCCTGACAAAATTGGTTATTTCTCGACAAGGGGAGGTGCTAGAAGCAATTTTTGGACATTCATATGATCGTATTGATCCAATCTATGTGTCCATTGGAATCAAATATAATGTTAATCAAATAACATTATAACTCACTCCAAAAAATTAATTATTTTGAAGTCTAAAAATACAGTTTTTGCCAAAATAACATTACTTTCCGTGATAATGAAAATGTTAAATTAGTTTTATAAAATCGGAAATGGCATAAGGTATAACATGTTGAAAATTTTATGAAAATCGAATAATAATTGTCACTTTTATAGACCAAAATTCTTGAAAAGTGACCTGTAGAAAATCGTCTATTTCTCTGCAAAATTCGGAGATTTCGGATTCGTAAAACGTTTTGAAAATATATTTTATGAAATCAGAAATGGCATAAGGCATCACATGTTAAAAATGTTATGGAAATCGAATAATAATTGCCACTTTTATAGACCAAAAATCTTGAAAAGTGACTTGTAGAAAATCGTCTTTTTCTCTGCAAAATCCGGAGATTTCGGATTCGTAAAACGTTTTGAAAATATATTCATTCCAAAGCCACCACCCATTCTTGGGGGGGGGGGGCAGGTAAAATTTTCAGAAAGATCCTATGCTTAGATTCTGAGATATAAGATTTGCCGAAAAAAAAAAATAATAATAATAATAATAATAATAATCTTAACAGAAACAATAAGCTTTTATATGAAATATGAAAGCTTAATAATAATCGGAACAAATACAATAGTGTTTCACACTGGCTACGCAGTGTAAAACCCTAATAATAATAATCGGAACAAAAACAATAGTGTTTCACACAAGCTACGCAGTGTGAAACCCTAATAATACGAATTTCTGCATTCGGTCAATTGAATCAAAGTCACTATGGAATTAGTTATAAATGGAATTAGTTACACCTGGAATTAGTTATAAATGGAATTAGTTATACCTGGAATTAGTCATAAATGGAATTAGTTATACCTGGAATTGTTAAATATATCTCTTTACTTGACACTCCGTGTTTATTTTTACATCGCCATGGTCCATTAAGGTTTTCATCCAAATTCTTTAATTCTAGATATACACCATAAAGGAACTCTTTGCAAACATAACCACCAGTCATCGAATTCTGTAACGATCTAGGCCCTCGACAAACAGTTTTTCCACTGAGGTCGAATTGGATCACTGGACGGTTAATTTGAAAGTGTCGAACAAAACAACAAAGACACATATGTTCCGTGGATCCAAGATTTGACCCGAGGGTTTCAATGTGGTATGATGTTCTCTCTAAAACAAAATATATAGGATAGAATGTAATCAAAGACAACCAGTGTAATCGTGTGAATAACCCAAAGACACTGTAAAGGGTATCAACAATGACAACCAGTGTAATCGTGTGATTACCCAAAGACACTGTAAAGGGTTTCAACCATGACAACCGGTGTAGATGTGTAAATTAACCAAAGACACTGTAAAGGTTTCAAATTGACAACCGGTGTAGATGTGTGAATTACCCAAAGACACTGTAAAGGTATCAACAATGACAACTACGTGTTTTATTACCTAGAGACACTAGAAATACTATCGGCAAATTAATATAATATAAGACAATATTAAAACTCCCACAACTATCAAAATTCTCAATATTTATTATTCGGAACTGAAGACAGAAACAATTCTGAAGAATTTTTTTCTGCAGTACATAACTTCGTCGACATCTCCCAAAGATTTTGAAAATTCTGTATGTAAATTTATGAAATATAAACATTGTGATTGTGGTTTGTACATATCGTGTATATATAGCCATCTTATAATTTAATCGTTACTTTACTTTACTTTTCATTATATATTTATGTTTGTACTTTTATGGAGAGGGGGTCTATAGGCTTCTGTCTTTTCTCAAATCCCGTTTCTCTGAATAAATATTGTTTAGAAAAAAAATCATATGAAATCAACCAAGGTTTTAAACAGATTCATGTTCCATTTCACCCAAACCCGAACGAAAAATAGATAACCCCTCCTATCGATCCTATTTTCCCGCTTAAGTAGCAGGAACATAGAAATTTTTCTCTCTTTTTTGTCTGCTTTACCGTACAGACTAAAAGTCAACTGTATTTATGAGATATTTGGCTATGTATTGACATGATGGGGCTGAATAGATGATTTTGTTATCGTATAAATAATAACACGTATCTTTCTCTGGGA